TTAACACTTTGTAAGCGGGCATTTTCCCGCCAAATCGCGTCGTAACAAAGAGGTCTCTATACCTGAGTTAACTCGTCTGCGCTTTGGTATAAAAAGCGCTATGACGAGTTTACTCGTTTCTCGCAAACAATGTGTTAATTGACGTTATACCACGCAAGGAGTTTTGAAGAGAGCGAGACAAGTGGAAGTCTGACGGCACAAGGTCAGGCGAGTATGGTGGGTGTGTCAACATATCCCATCCAAGCTCCAATAATTTTTAACGGGTGATCAGACTTGTGTGTGGTCTCGTGTTGTCGTGATGGAACACAACTCCTTTACGGTTAATGAGCTCTGGACATTTCTGGATGATAGATTCATTCAATTGTCCAATTGCCAAGAGTACACATTCGAATTAATTGTTTGGTTCTTGGTAGGAACTCGAAAAACATGACACCTTTAAAATCTCACCACACTGAGAGCATAACCTTCCTCTGATGAATTTCTGCTTTGGATGTCATTTGAGGCGAATCATCACGTCTAGACCAAGACCGTTTGCACACCACATTGTTGGAAATAATCCACTTCTCATCACCAGTTACCAGTCGCTTCAAAAAAGGATTTTTTTCCTCACATTTAATGAGCATATCGCAGATGATTATAGGTGCCATCAAATGAACTTCTTTGAGTTCATGAGGAACCCAAATATCAAGCTTGCTTATGTATCTCAGCTTCTTCAGGTGGTCATGAATGCTTGAAGGATGGATGTTCAATGTTCCTGCAATCTCTCATGTCATGTGACCTGGGTTTGACTTAATCAATGCCTTTATTTTGTCATCAACCTCGGTGGGCCTCCCTGACCAAGGAGCGTTGTTGAGATCAAAATCACCAGCACGGAATTTTGAGAACCATTGTTGACACTGACGTTCTTGTAGAGCATTGTCAGCGTAAACTTCATGCAACTTTTCACAAGCTTGACGCGCATTCTTCCCTTTACGGAAGCAAAACAGTAAAATGTGGCGAAAATGCACAGTTTGGTCTTCCATCTTCAACTTGTAAAATCTCCAAAACTCAACCAAATCACTCAATTTTGTTTTAGAGTGAAGTTAGAACTGTCAGTTGTCAAATGACATAGCAATAACGTAGATGCGAATGACTCTAGTACTTCCAAAAATGAACTAGCGCTATCTGTTGCAAAAATACGTCATGACTTTTCTGACAACACAATACAATGACCTTTGAGGCCCTAAAATCTTTACTTGTGTGCCACCCTCTCCAGGTCAGCTCATCACTCAGCTGCCTTCCAGCGTGTTCTCACGTCCTGGGGCACAGCAGGTTCTGTGTGTATCCCCAATATTATCCTGCTCCATCTGAAAACAAAAACCTCTGAACCTGTTTATCTCTCTGCCAAACTTTCTAAGTCTTGCCCAACTAAATTTTGTAAGTGTCAGATCAATTGTATACACATTTCAAGAGTACTTTCACACTTCCAAATACTTCAGTCGTTATTTCTTTAAATAATATTCCTCTCAACTAGTCTTTTACCCCACAAGGGCAAGTTTCTCTCTGTTTCATTCATCACTATAATTTCACTCCCTGATACAGTTTTGGTGCTAAGTGAACCTGAAAGATGCATTCATTTAGGACAAAAGGAGAGCATCACTTGCCTGAAGAATGTTGTAGTAAATGGGCTATAAGGACAGAACATATCAGAGATACATGAAAATCAAATAGTTGATTACCCAAAGGTTTATTATACAGAATAATACATACTAAAACTTTTTTACTGTCAGACTAGCATAATTTTAAAAAAGAAAATGACAGAGTATTCCTTATGGGATAAAATGCCTATACCTAAATAAAATATAAAATATGTTACCTTGTTTTTATTCAGAAAAAATATGTCCTATAAAGAAATGTCTTAAGATAGTTAAATATTTATTAGTTTCAGGTGTACAAAACAATGTATTAGTTAGACATTTATACCCCTCACAAAGTGATTACCCCCTCCCCCAATCTACTACCCCTCTAAAATTGTATAAAGCTGTTACAATTCCATTGACTCTATTCCCTATGCTGTACTCCACATTCTGTAATCATATATATATATATATATATATATATATATATATATATATATATA